TGCATGAAAGACTATATCCATGTCTCTCCACCTTTGCCTCAAAATTAATTGTGATTTTAGCTGCATCAGTGAATATCTCTGCAAACAGCTTTTGTAATCTTGGTGTTATGGAATGTATTCCAACGTCTTAGGAAATAATCAAATTTTAACTTCTATGATGAAAGGAAAGCTTTCCCCCCCCCTCCTCCTTACTTCTTGCATATCTTTTCGATGAAGGGAGGAATGTTAAGATTTATATAGATGACGGAGGAGAAGTTGCTTGGTCTAGCTTGGCAGAGGATAGATACCAGGAAAGGCAGAAAGGAGGGAATGGATGTTTTTTTTACTGCATTGTAAGCTGCTTAGAGTTGAGGAAGAAAGGAAGGGAGGGAGGGAGGGAGGGAGGAAGAGGTGATATTCAGCTGGTTTGTACCAGTTCGGGCGAACTGGTAGCGGCAACTGTGAATGGGACTGCCCACTTGCCCCGGCTCTATGATGTCCTACTTAGGCATGTTTTCAAGGCTGAGCGCATGCACGGGAGGCACACAAGCATGTGCGAAGGCTGGACACATGCACAGAAGGAGCGTGCGCGCACAGGGCAAACTGGTGGTAAGAAAATTGGAAACCTACCACTGGAGGGAAGGACGGAGGGAGAGAGGGAGGAAGGGAGTTAGTTTTATAAGAGGAAAGAAAGTTAAAAGAGACCAACTTCTAAAGTGTCATTTGAAGAAAGAAGTGTTGGTAGTCAGAAGAGAAGGCCTGTTCTTTTATTTCCCTTGAAATATCTATTTGTAACTTAGCAACCTGTGAAGGAACATTACAATTGCTAATTGAGATAGACCAAGCTGTGGTTGAAAGACAGAAAAAAAGGGTAGTTGGTAGGTTGAAAGGTTGGTGGTTGGATCATCGGGGTTGAGTAACTTGGCATCCCAAGTATTTTCTGAATAGTGAAATAGTCTAATTAAATAAAAGCCATGCTACATTTGAAATATAAGCTAAAATGTTCTGCTTCTTGCGTGCTTGACTGCAGTGGAGTGTAATTTTGAGCTTGGTAAGTTGAAATGGCTGCCTCAGTTCAAAACAGTTTACTCTCTGTAGGAACGTGGGCCTTGCCATATAATACAGATGTCAGGTTTACAGGTTTACAGATGTCAGGTTTACAGGTTTACAGATGTCAGGTTTACAGTAAGGACTTTGGCTTACGACAATTCATTTAGTGACCGTTTGAAATTACAAACGCACTGAAAAAAGTAACTTGAGACCATCTTTCGCATGACCATTGCAGCATCCCTGAGGTCATGTGATCCAAATTCGGTCGCTTGACAAATGACACATATTTATGACGATTGCGGTGTCCTTCGATCCACTTTTTGTAACCCTCTGACAAGCAAAGTCAATGGGGAAGCCAGGTTCACTTAACAACTGTGTTACTAACTGAACAACTGCGATGATTCACTTCACAACTGTGTCGAGAAAGGGTCGTAAAAGGGGGCGAAACCTGGTTAACAAACATCTCACTTAACAGCAGGAGTTTTGGGCTCAATTGTGGTCTTAGGACAACAAGATAATTTACATCTTGCTCTGATGGTCCACAACAAAGGATTCATCTGGTCATGTTATTCCCCTTATAAGCATAATTCCATCAGTAAAAGCAGAGGTGGTATCCAGCCGGTTCAGACCTGTTCGCCCGAACCAGTAGCAGCTCTATGCCATCCTATTTAGGCACGTTTTTGAGGCTGGGCGCATGTGTGGACGGGGCCCGGTCACATTTGTGAACTGGTAGGGAAAGTAAATGAATACCACTCCTGAGTAAAAGGGTGAATATTTTCCACCTCCTCTTTCTTCTGCAGTCATTCTGAGCATCGGGTCATGACGGGAAAGATCAGTGAGAAACTTTGTGTCATAATCAAACATCGCTTAGGGATACGGACAAAGGCTTTGAGAACATGTGGTATCCCTTGGTTGTTTTTATGCAAAAGGAATTAAGCATCTTCGTCTCTCACACCCTGTTAATGATTTGCTAGAAGCAAGGTTATGGCACTGCTAGGTTTAAAGACAGTTGTGCTATTTTTAATTAGTTCATATGTACAATACGGTTGCTTTTCCTTTAAAAAAAAAAATACCAGGACTTTTTCCCAAGTTTCTCTCAGTCTTCGCTTATCTCGCATCTACAAATAGCCACTCTTCCTGTATATGAGATATGCATTTGTTTTCTTTCCAATATGTTCACCCAGAGTTTATTTCATGCAGGATATAAAAAAAAAAAAGACACAAAGTCGCGTTATGAAAGATTATTTGTCTTTAAGTTAAACATTCATCAAAATAGTTCAACTTAAGTTCAGTCCCTTCTTCTGACATTATAGGTCAGTAGAGCTACTGTTATTTCAGTTAGCGATTGTATAAAAGAGAACGTTGAATTCAGACAGGACTGATTACATGCGTATGACTAACAAGAATTTCCTAGTTTTAAATTTGGAGGTACTTAGAAAGTGAAGAGAAAAACAAAGACTCTGTGTGTGCCTTACACAGACACATTTTCACTTTTCTTAAGCAAAATAATAGAACAGAAAGAACAGAACGGAACGGAACGGAACAGAACAGAACAGAACAGAACAGAATAAAATAGAATAGATTAGATTTTTTTATTGGCCAAGTGTGATTGGACACACAAGCAATTTGTCTTGGTGCATAGGCTGTCAGTGTACATAAAAGAAAATATATATTCATCAAGAATCATAAGGTACAACACTTAATGATAGTCATAGGGTACAAATAAGCAATCAGGAAACAATATCAATATAAATTGGAAGTGTTAGGATATGGTTTGAGCCTAACAAGTTGTCCAGGCAATATAAGTGTACTGTAACTTTAATCTGTAAATGTATTATGTGACTTTAATGCTGAGTCATGCCGTAATTAGGTAATCACTGGTTGTGAGAGTATTTAAGCAAGGTATTGTAACGTGTTCAGTTGCTGCTATGATATGCTGCCATTGTGTATGAAGCTGATGTGATATGCTACCAGAGTACAATATGCTGCCATAGTGAGGAGTTGCTATCTGCTATCATCGTGGTTTGTGAACCAGAGTGAGTTTGTTATTCTAACCAACTACTGTCTGTTTGGTAAGAAGATATCTGTAACTACTGGACTGATTTAACTGGCAAAGACTTGGAATTTGTTTAAAGACTATGAGACTGTTTTTCTACTATAAAGTAAGCTTTTGATAAACCAGTTTGCATATCTTTTATTCATTGCTCTGAGCAACGTTTCCTTGTGCATTTACTCTGCTGGTTGGTAACACAACACCAGTATCCTTAACAGTAAGGATACAAGCAACAAAATTGCAGTCATACAGTCATAAGTGGAAGGAGATGGGTGATGGGAATGATGAGAAGATTAATAGTAGTGCAGACTAATAAGAATAGGAAGTTCCTTCTATCACCAATACTCTTTCTCTTTATGTAATTTGGATCTTTCTTTTTTTTGCTCTTGTGGTCAAGAGTTGAGGTTCAAATCAGACTTGCAGAAAAAACTTCCTTCCTTCCTTCCTTCCTTCCTTCCTTCCTTCCTTCCTTCCTTCCTCCCTCCCTCCCTCCCTCCCTCCCTCCCTCCCACCCTCAATTCTAAGCAGTTTAGCATGCAGTAAAAAAACATCCATAAAACCCTACATCTTCTTTTAACAACACTTTAATTTGCAAAATTAAACACTTGCTCATTTCTCAAAAGGCCAAAAATGAGACAAAAGTTTAAATAACTACCCTGATTTGGTGTTTAACAGTAACTCAGCATAGATTATATATTTATTAAAATTCAGAAGAACTACTTTCTTGTGTGAGTTTCTTTCTTTCTTCTTCTTCTTTTTTTTTTTTTGGTACTTCTGCATAAACAAGAGTTTTAATCTTTTTCCCCCAGTCTTCTGTAAAGTACAGCTACTTTAGAGAAAACAATCGAAATGCATTATACTGAAAAACTGGCGTCTTAGGCTAGCCGCAGTTATAACTTAATTATTCCTTTTCCTGTTTAAAGGTTTTCCCATAGTTCTCTACCTTTAATACTTTCCCCGCAAATTACAAAGCAGAAGGATAGTCCCCCAAATTATTCTTTTAAAAAATAAATTACCGCCAACAGTGCTGCTGTCAAGACTGCCATTGCTATCTATTGTCTTTGTAATGGAATTTTCTGAGGGAGATTTAAAAAAAAAAAAAAAAACCAACCAACAACTCCTATCTGAACTTGTTGCCAAGAAAAATAGGGAAGAAACATTGAAGTTATTTTCAGATGAACTATGCCAGAGTTTTCTTTATGCAAAAACATTGTTTAATTGTAGAAATTCTTACGAGGTGGTAAAAAAAACAAGAGTCCGTATTTTTGAAAAACTGAACAGGCTTGGTAGTATCTATTCCAAATGGAATTCCCAATTTCCACACAACTTTGGAATAGGTGTAGGGGAAAGAGAGAGACCAAAATTTTCACATCTCTAAGATGTCTGCTGGAGTGGAGATCATCTCTTCAGAAATGGGCACTTAATTGAGGAAGACTATTCATTTTGCTGTTGTTGATGAAGGAGATAGTTGACGCTGGGTAAACGCACAGAATAATTTGAACATAAATCATAAGTGGTCCATATAAAATATGTATCATAGCGAGAAACATTCCATTGTCCATATAGACAGTGCGCAGGCTAAAATGAGATAATTGGGAACTTACCCATAAAGTCAGCCTAAATATATTATCACAAGTATGTGTGAGATAATATTAGTTTTAAAAAGATTCTATGGCACTGTAAACTCAGTCTCATTAGAGGCTGCATTTAAAAGGCTTATAAAGTTACTCATTAATGCTATCTGGTTGTATCTCCACCGCTTTTTCATTAAAGAAAATTCAGCAGAAAGCATTTTCTCCTGATAGCAGGAACCAATTTGCAATAAATGTTCTGGAAATCACTAGGGAAGCCATTACTGAGGTCTAATAAAAACAGACAAGCGTAACTTGTTCTATATTTTTGTTTCAATCACATACAGATGAGACCCCGCTCTCCACACCAACCACAAGAGACAGCCTTGACAAACTTTCGCTAACTGGCCACGGACAACCTCTTCCTCCCGGGTTCCCGTCTCCTTTTCTATTTCCTGATGGATTGTCCTCCATAGAAACCCTCCTGACAAATATCCAGGTAGGTCGCCGCAGAGCAAGGCACAAAAAAAAAATTCCTGGGAACAGATGTCTTTCACTTCAACTAACACTTCTTTCATTTGAACTATTAAAGGCAGCAACGTAATCAAACAAGCTTTAAAAATCCACCTTTTTTTTTTTACAATCCTTTAATCCCATTATTTGGGGTGGAGTCAGGGTGACAGAATGTTGCTGAGCACTTACTGGCTGGTCACCTTTCCTAACACCTACATGGGGTTCACAGTAGACATTTTCTCTTTGTGCCCTGATAAAGAAACATCTGTCGCTGCCTAGGATTGAACTCTCAACCTTCTCAGTGGGAGGCGAGCGTCTTCACCTCTAGGCTAATGCACCGGTCTAAAAATCCACCTAAATGCCACTTATAAAATGGGATTCATGGACAAATGTGCTGCTGAGGCTTTGGAGATTCTTCTCTGTTGAAGAATAAATATTCACAGGGATCATTCTGACTTCATTTTTTTTTTTTAATTTGATTTATATGCCGCCCTTCTCCGGAGACTCAGGGCGGCTTACAATGCGTTAAGCAATAGCCTTCATACTTTTGTATATTTATACAAAGTCAGCTTATTGCCCCCACAAACTGGGTCCTCATTTCACCTACCTTAGAAAGGATGGAAGGCTGAGTCAACCTTGAGCCTTGGAGAGATTTGAACCAGCAGTAAATTGCAGGCAGCTGTGTTAATAACAGGGTGCGTAGACCACTGTACTATCAAGGCTCTTCTGACTTCATTGAGGGCACTCAATTGACTGAGCCTTTTGGAATGAAAAGTTTCCGATGGCATTGATTGACCTGCAGAAATATGCCTTTAATACAAAAGTCGCTTTAAGAGTTTGTGTTTCAAACAAATGTGTTTGAGGATAAAGATAAGGGAGGTACTAGGTTTTCTGAAAATTTCCTAGGAAGGATTTCTAGACATCTCCCTATGTTTAAAAGAAGAACTAAGTATGAACTAGGAACTTCCTTCCTAGTATGAATATAATTTAGAGTTACTAGTATTAAAAGCGACAAGAGAGGGGCATGGTGACCTAGTGGTGAAGACACTCATCTTGAGAGTTCAATCCTAGGTACCGGCAGATGTTTCTCTCCTAGGGTACAATGAAAAACAAAATCTGCTGCAAACTTTGTGTGATGTCAGGAAGGGCATCCAGCCAGTAAACACTCAGCTCTAGCCAGCCACTCCAACTCTAGCCTGAATTAAGGGATTACGGGGTTGTAAAAAGGAAGTTTTAGTGTTGAAAGAGACAAAAAGGAGAGAGAGGTAAATAGATGAGAGACAGAGAGAGACAGAGACACAGAGAGGGAGGGAGGGAGGGAGGGAGGGAGGGAGGGAGGGAGAGAGAGAGAGAGAGAGAGAGAGAGAGAGAGAGAGAGAGAGAGAGAGAGAGAGAGAGAGAGAGAGAGAGAGAGAGAGAGAGAGAGAGAGAGAAAGAGAAAGAGAAAGAGAAAGAGAAGAGAGGGAGGGAATTTAGAATAGTTTGCAAGCTTAGTTTATACTGTTGAAGTCCTAGAAGACTACTGAGCACCACATTAAGACTTAATAGATTCAGGTAGATTGGGGTATCAAAGATTAATATAATAATAAACCATAAAAAATAGCATTAAAACTCTCTATGAAAAACGGGAGCGTAATTATGCTCATAAATTTTTAAGATTCCAGACATGAGAGGTGTACAAAATTAATAGCTGGTTTGAGAAAGGATAAAAGATATTTATTGTTTCTGTGTTGTTGTTTAGCCCTACACAGGGAGATACCTAATTCGATCCTATTATCCAACGGAAGCTGAAAATTAAACCGCCAAGCAAAAGTTAAGCCAGGGCTCCCCCAACTTGGCAAAGTTCTCTCCAGCTTCCTGTCTGAGGACACTTTTGTTAGCCAAAGGGTACATCTCAGTGGTGAAATTCAATTTTTTTTACTACCAGTTCTGTGGGCGTGGCTTGGTGGGTATAGTGTGGCTTGGTGGGCGTGGCAGGAGAAGAATACTGAAAAATCTCCATTCCCACCCCACTCCAAGGAAAGGATACTTCAAAATCCCCATTCCCTCCCCACTCCTGGGGGAAGGATATTGCAAAATCTCCATTCCCACCCCACTTCTGGGGGAAGAATATTGCAAAATCCCCATTCCTTCCCCACTCCTGGGGGAAGAATATTGCCACTGCGTCCCTTTGTCTGGATTGGAGAGAGATCTCAATCACGGCGTGTTGGTTCTGAACCAAGGACATACATAAATATCTTAGCTTGAACATGTTGGTTTCCTTATGAACAAGATTTCCCACCGATCAACCTGTAAAATGGCATAAATTTTAGATTCACTTCCAGAGAGATGCTTCAGATAGCAAATATAGCTTTGGTCTGCAATTCATAAAGGCACTTTTCAGGGGAGCCTGGGAGATGATGTGGTTGCCTTCCTTAAAGAGTTGTAAGAGTTCTTTTTTTTTTTCCAAAAAGTTTTTTATTTTTTAAACAAAAACAACATAAAAACATCAACTTTCCAAACACTTACAGACAGTATTTTGATCGGTAAAAATCATTTCGTGCTCTCAAAAATTTTCAAACTCTCATTATATGACACATATTCTTACCTCTAACAGAAAAAAAAAACAAGTGCTTAAACATTTTATCCAAATTTCATTTCATATATAATATTTCATCTCCAGGCTTTATTATCTATCCATTAATAAAATAATTCCCATATCAAATAATATTGCTTATCTTCCTGTTCTCTTATTTCAAATGTCAATCTACTCATTTCAGCACAGTCCAACCTTTTCTTAATAATTTCTTCATCAGTAATCATCTTCTCTCCTTTCCAGTTTTTTGCAAATACAATTCTAGTCGCTGTTAATATATTCACAATCAAATATTGTAATTCTTTGTTGAATGTCTCTGGTAAGATCCCTAATAAAAATATGGAGTCGTAAGAGTTCTAACAGCCACCTCTCCCAAATTATTTATGAAGCTATAGACACGTCATCCCAAAGGTGCTTTTTTCAATGGGCAACCGGACTTTCCTGTTTTTCTTTGAAGACGTTTCCCTTCTCATCCAAGAGAAGCTTCTTCAGCTCTGATGAGAAGTGAAACGTCTTCAAAGAAAAACAGGAAAGTCCGGTTGCCCATTGAAAAAAGCACCTTTGGACAACCATGACCTAGATCAGTGGTGGGTTGCCCCCGGTTCACACCGGTTCTATAGAACCGGTAGTAAAACTGGTGGGAGGCTCCGCCCACCGACCCCAATGTCATCAGAACGCTTCTGCGCGTGTGCAGAAGAGTGGGCGCCCACACGAGCGAAGAGAGAGCGCACACGTGGCCCCATTGCGAACCGGTAGTAAAAGTAAGTAGAACCCAGCCCTGACCTGGATGACTGAGAATCTCCATAGACACTTTAGACATGTCTTATAAACAGCTGAAAGACTTCCCATTCTGCCTTCTACCACATGGATATTTGACATTGGGATCGTATTTTCCAGGTGGGATTTGTGGAAGCAAATAAAACTAAGAGAGGAATCGCAGGTGTCACTGACTTGTTGGTCCCCAGAAGTCCCCAAAGAAAAAAGTTTATGAGGAAGATATTCTGGGAAAAAAAAAAATCCACTCCCAATTTTAGATATAAAGACATCAACAGATATACCAACCATGGCGAGAAATAAACTTTAATTCTGTTTTTCAGGAAATGAAAGAGAAGATAGTGAGGAGATAGGATGTTCTTTAGCAATAAAGAGCAGCTACACTTTATTAAACCATTCTGTGTTCATACCTTTTTGAAGGCTTTAAAATGCAGTTATGTTTACCTTCTGGTAATGATTTGCAAATCAATTTAAGTGTAATCAATAAACGCATCGATTCATTCTTAGAGTAATATAATTGATCAACTAAAAATAGTTCACAACCCTATTATTAATTCATGGTTTATACGTAATGATATGTATGTATACAGAGCTGAGAATGCTGAATAAATTTCACTTCTTAATAATCTGAAGATCTGCTGTAAAATAGAAGCATATTTGTTTTATAAACAAAACAAGTGCTAATGATGTGACAGTTTAAACGTAGTCTGAAGGATGAAGTCATGTAGATAAAACAAAAGAATGATTGTGTTTGTATGTGGGAAGTTTCTCTACTGTACAATAATTTGCAAACATTCACTCAAACAAAAGCTGCAATTTTATTCCCACAATTTTTATCTGGTTTCTGCCAGTGTTTATGAGATGTTAATAAAAGGGGAAAGCTAACAGGTTCTCTACTGTTGTTTACTTGGGTAGGTATGACTTCTGAGTTTACAGAATAATGAATTGGTTGGTTAAACAGCGTTATCAAGAGCTTTCAAATGATTTGTTTAAATGATTTACTGGCAATTTAAAAATAGTAGTTAGAACCAAAAGTGGGTAGGCCAGTTCAAATTATGACTTTAACCTTGTTTTATTTCAAAGTTTGATTAAAAAAACAAAATAAAAATGAATTCTGTGAAATAGAAAATTATTTTCAAAGAAGTCATTTGACTTTTTTTGACACACTATATTATTATATTATATTATATTATTATTATATTATATTATATTATATTATATTATATTATATTATATTATATTATATTATATTATATTATATTATATCATTATTATATTATATTATATCATTATTATATTATATTATATTATATTATATTATATTATATTATATTATATTATATTATATTATATTATATTATATTATATTATATTATATTATATTATATTATATTATATTATATTATATTATATTATATTAATGAATTCACTGGGTGAATCCTACAAAATATCCAAGTTGTAATATTGATTAATCAATTAATTTCTTTACCATTTTCAATTAAATGTTTTGTAGGACAATTTATGCACAAAAATTCCCTAAAAACAATGGAGGGACTTAAAAATAACTATGGGCATTAAAAACAGATATAAAGTCAAGAAACTGAAATAATAATAATAATAATAATAATAATAATAAT